TAGCAGCTCACAGAGACTGAACTGACAACCAGGGAACCTGCATGGGACTGACCTGGGCACTCTGCATATATGTGACAGTTGTGTAGCTTGGTCCTCTTGTGGGACTCCTAACAGTAGGAGCAGGGGCTGTCTCTGACCCTTTTACTAGCTTTTGGGAACCTATTCCTCATACTGGGTCACCTTGCCCAGACTTAATACATGGGGAGGTGCTTAGTCTTCCTGCAACTTGATATGCCTGTTTTGTTGATATCCATGGGAGATATGAACAGAAATGGAGGAGTGGATTGGGGGTGGGATTGGTGGGGGAAAGGGACTGGGAGAAGAGGAGGGAGGGGAAACTGTGGCCAGTATGTAAAAATAAATAAATAAATAAATAAATAAATAAATAAATAAATAAATAAATAGGAATGCATCCTGTCCAGAAAGAGTCACCATTTAAGAATCTGTCAGTGTAGAATAGGACACTGACTCCTCATCTGGAAAAGTGGCAACTAAAAGAGTTCAACATAATCCTCTTTCCTACAGGAAGTGTATTGGGCTTCTCAAATAGGGGAGAGATAATTTTTACATAGGAAGACCCTGTCTCAAGAAAAAAGACATGATCTCTACATTGTAGGAAATTCTCAAAGAATTAATAAAAAGATATTTTAAAAAATAACGATCTCTACACATGGAAGTGGGAATACGACTATCCACTTTTTGTTATACGGTGGTATCATATTAGTTGTGCTTATATGTTTGCATATATTTTTTACATATGCATGTTGAGTATGTACATATATGGATAAATATATGCTAATGTACAAACTGGACTTGCACGATTTAATCTATTTCTGGGATGTATATTTTTTATAATGACTAGACACTTTTACATACTTAAAGAAACAGACAAAGCAAGGCTTGGCAAAATATGCCCATAATCCCAGCACTTGGGAGGCAGAGACAAAAGAGGAGATCAAGACTATCCTGAGTTAAATGAGACCACATCTCAGAAACACAAACAGGGCCAGCAAAATGGCTGCATGTTTTGTTGTTTGTTTTAGATTATAATTACATTTTTCTCTTCTCTTTTCTCTCTCCAAACCCTCCCATATATTCCTCCTTGCTCTCTTAGATTCATGGCCTCTTTTTACTATTATGTGTGCCCACGTATACACACACACACATATATACACACACACACACATATATAATACATATGCTTAAATATAACCTACTCAGTCTGTATAATGAATATTTGCTGTGTGAGTCTGATGACCTGTGTTTAATCCTCAGTAACCAAGGCAGAAGGAGGTAACTGACACCTAAAAGTTGTCCTCTGACCTCTACAGGCAAATCATGGTTCATGTGTGCATGCACATGAGCACACACATACACATAATTTTCTTTTAAATTCATACCCAAAAGAAACATTCAAATACAGAGAAAATGGATCATGTTACTCACCTAATCATAACCCTTAAGTAGGAACATTTCTAACTGTTACTACAATAGAGCCCAAATCCCTCACCACCTAGCCCTCAGTCACATTACTCTTATATGGCTACAGCAGTACTTCAAATGCTCTACTCCTATGAGACATCTTCTGATGTCTCAAATCCACTGTATGTCTAGTTTCAGGCCTGTGTACAGGTTTGTTTCCATGACCTGGAACACTTCTATCTACTCATGATCCACCTCCATCTATCACAATTCTGCATTCAATTCACTTCTATCTGAATATTTTTTAATGAATTTTGTTTTATTAACATACATTGCGTTTCATTGTATTTTCATACACATCTATTATTGGACTTCTTTTGTTATCACTTCTTGAAGGACATCTCTGACACTCTAGACAGAGTCAGTTCCCATTATAAGCATCTATAGAAACGTTTTTACTCAGTGGCCCTGATGCAGCCAGAGTCTACGCTGATGTCTGAGGCTCCTGCTGCCATCGAAGGCCCTGTGGATGCCCGGGGTCTAGGCCCACACCTGGGGCCATTTCAGGGTACAAGGGCCAAGCTGCCATTGGGTCCATGAAGATCTGAGTGACCTGCACTGCCAACCAGGGGCATGGTGACATCCAAGCCCGGCTGCTGTCAAGGAACAGTCTGGGCCCATTGTCCAACCACAGCTGGGGGCTTGTATTGATGTCCATGGCCCATAGTGCCACTAAGGGCCACAAAGACATCAAGGGCCTGGTCAGCCACCTAGGGCCAGGTTAGTGTCTAAGGCCTCTGCTGGGACCATACAGATCTGAGTAGCCTATGCTGACAACCAGGCTGGGCATGGTGTCATTCAGGCCTGGGCTTCTGCCAGAGGCCCGTCTGGGTCCGTGGACCTGCCACAGCCACAGTCTGTACTGCCTGTGTGGATGTTCATGGCTCCTATTACCACCAAAAGCAGTGAGGACAGGGCTACACAGAGTTGGCCCCACCCCTTACCAGTTGCAGCACTAAGGAGAACTGGCCCTGCCCTGCACCAGCTGCAGCACAGAGATGCAGATTATCCGGTGCCCCTCGTAGGAGGTCTGGCTCCACCCTTCATCTGCCATATAGTGGAGTGGGAGAGAGAGAGAGGACCTCCCCTCCCCGACCCTTTACTGCCTTTGGCAGGTGGGAGAGCCGGCGCTGAAGTCATGAGAGTGGGAAAATTGGCACTGCCCCTACCACAAGCCCTGACCCTCACCTGGCAGCACAATAGAGCTGACCCTGATGGCACGGGCACAGGTGAGCTGGCCTGTGGGTGTGAGAGCAGGAGAGCTGCCCCTGCCCCTTCCCTCTTATGCCATGGGGTGGCAAGGGTAAGGGAAATATGACCCTCACCCCTTGCCCCCTGTGACAGGCGGGAGAGCTGGCCTTACTATTCTAACAGTCTCGAACCACAGGCCACTTCACGTGTCAGTCCTTGGTAGCAACTAGAGCAGAGCAACACAGTGATTGCTAGGTATGAGGGTTGGTTTCAACATCAACTTGTCACAAATTAGAATCACCTCAGTAGGAAGTGTCACCTGAAGAAGTGTCCGGACTGCCTTGGCTAATGTGGAAAGACCCAGGCTGACTGTAGGAGGCCACTCCTGGTAGCAGCCCAGAGAAAACGGGTATGGCAGATGGCAGATTGATGTCTTTCCCTCTCTACACCAAGTTAATTTACCCTATTGCTGCTGCTGATTCCTTCCCTGATAAGGAATCCAGAATTTCAAGGTGTACCAGCTAGTTTTATATCAACTTGACACAAGCTAGAATCACCTGAAAAGAAGGAACCTCAAATGAGAAAATGCCGCCATAAAATCAGGCTGTAGGCAGGTCTGTGGGATATTTTTTCTGATTGATGGTTCATATGGGAGGGCTCAGCTCACGGTGGGCAATGCTACTACTTAGCTAATGGCTCTGGGTGCTATAAGAAAGCAGGCTGAGCAAGCCATGTAAGCAAGCCAGTAAGTAGCACTCCTCCATGACCTCGGCATCAGCTCCTGCCTCAGGGATCCTGCTCTGTTTGACTTCCTGCCCTGACTTCCTGTGATATGGAAGTTTAAGCAAAATAACCCCTTTCCTCCCCATGGTGCTTTTGGGTGTGGTGTTTCATCACAGCACTAGTGATCCTAACTAAGACTCCAGGCTTCTATCATGGACTGAGGACCAGTGGATCTCCAGAAATCTTCCAGGTTTTTGGTGCCTGGTAGACTGAGGACTACCAGGTTGTCAGCACCCTCAAGGACAGACAGCTACTGTGGGACAACCCCAACTTCTCAGACAGCCAGTATCAAGGACAGAGCGACCACCAGGTCCCCAGCCTCTTGGGTGATGCAGCTGTTGTTACTATTTTAACATAAGCTGACTGAAGAAATTAGTGTGTGTGTGTGTGTATGTGTGTATGTGTGTGTGTGTGTGTGTGTGTGTGTGTGTGTGTGTGTGTGTATATATATATATATATATATATACTCATATTCATCCCATTGGTTCTGTTCTTCTAAAGAACCCTGACTAAACTGCGCAGTGGTGGTGCACGCCTTTAATCCTAGCACTTGAGAGGCAGAAGCAGGCAGATCTCTGTGAGTTTGAGGCCAGCCTGGGCTACCAAGTGAGTTCCAAGAAAGATGCAAAGACACACAGAAACCCCGTCTCGAAAAACCAAAAAGAAAAAAAAAAAGATCCCTGACTAATAAATACACTGTCATTGCCATTGCCACCTTTAAGGAGGGGTAGGGGGTGGTCTGGTCTTTCTTGAGGTAAGATTTTGCTATATAGCCCTATCTGGCCAAGAACTTATTCTCCTGCCTCAGCTTCCTGAGTGCTAGGATTACAGGCATATAGTCACAGAGCACTGTTTTTATTCTTTTTTCTGTGAGTGTTCAGTGCTGGGGGTCAAACCTAGAGCATCACAAATGTTAAGCATGTGCTCTACCACTGAGCTACAACCTCAGTCATATTTACCATATATTTTTGCTTTTCTGAGACAGGTCCCTTATTGTAGCTCTGGCTTGCCATATATATATGTGTGTGTGTGTGTGTGTGTGTGTGTGTGTGTGTGTGTGTGTGTATGTATATATGTATATGTATATATATGTGTGTATATGTATATATGACTTGCTATATAGACCAGGCTGGCCTTGAACTCAGAGGTCCTCCTGCTGCCTCTGCCTCATAAATGCTGAGATTAAAGGCATGCGTCACCATACCTAGCTATTTACCATTTTTAATCTACCACTTATGGTGTAGCTACTCTGGGTGACTTTATCAAATAAGGAAAGGGATTATTTTGAGAGAAGATCTCACTGTATAGTATAGCCTGGCCTCAAAATCATTATCCTCCTGCCTCAGCCTTCTCGGTATTAGGAGTGCTGGCAAGGGAAAGGATTGTGTACAGGATCACACAAGTGAGAGAGTGGGGAGACAGGGGTGATCAGGGAAGGAAGGGAAGGGAAGAAGGCAATTACAAAGGCTTGGAGGCCAATGGAACAATCCAGGTAACTTGATGGTGGACCTGAACACTGTAATTCAAAACCAAGTCCCACTTACTTCCAGTGTATGACTTCACAAGATGGACTCAGTGGGCTTTGGATGAGGGCAGCACAACATGATATGCCTAAAAGAAACCAAAAAGAAATCAGCTTAATATCTTCAATCAGAAGAAAATGTTTAATACCATTAGATGTATACATATAATTATACATTTTATATATCTGTATGTTATAAATACATATACATATGTAGACGTATTTGCAATAGCCCTTATGTTGGGTTCCACATCTGTACATTCAGCTATTGGGAATCAAAAATAATTGAGAAAACAATGGAATGAATAAATATAGACATTTCCTTGTTATTATTACCTAAACAATGCAATATAACAACTATTTATACAGCCTTTATATCAGTGGTTCTCAACCTGTGGGTTCCAACCCCTTTGGGAGTCAAATGACCCTTTCACAAGGGTTGCCTATCAGATATCCTGCATATCAGATATTACATTACAGTTCATGACAGTAGCAAAATTACAGTTATGAAGAGCAATGAAAATAATTTACTGGTTGAGGATCACCAAAACATGAAGAATTTGTATTAAAGGATTGCAGCATTAGGAAGGTTGAGAACCACAGCTTTATATTGTACCACATATAACTAGAGATGATTTAAGTATATTTCAGGGCCAGGCATGGTGGCACACATCCTTAAATCTCAACACTTAGGAGGCAGAGGCAAGCAGATCTCTGTGAGTTTGAGGCCAGCCTGGTCTACATAGTGAGCTCCAGGGAAGCCAAGGCTATAAAGACCTTGTTTCAAAAAATAAAAAAGTATATTGTGGGTATGTGCATAGATTATAACTTAAGTTGCATTTTATAAGACTCAAATATGCAAGGAGGTTTATAACTGTGGGGGTTTCTGAACCACATTCTCCAAGACATAGCATCTTAAGCTAAAGCAATGCCAACTGATTGTGGAGATCACAAAAAAATGGGTGACAAATATGAGGTTTCTAGATGTACAATGACCAAAATTTAATTCAAAATTAAATGCTTAATGAATCCAAGGTGCTTCCGGCAATGTTCCCCATCATGCAATTTCACTGCAGACTTGGCTCTAAATATACATGTACACTTGCACTGAGCATGCTGTTATGAGCAGTAGCAAATGCTACCTGAAACACCTCAGCTCAGATTGTAGACTGCTATATATTAGGGGTTGTAGTACTTTACAGTACAGTTTTCTGCTCCTGTAGAGACATAATGGATTAATTAAGAAAAAAGACTTTTAATATCCTCCTACGGTCATTCTTGAGCATATATTGAATACTTTTGGTTTGTATTGTATTAGGATGTTCCATTTTTAAATTTCTCTTTGAGTTGTTGACTTGAATTTCAAAAAAAAAAAAAGTCCAAGTGATTTTTGACTTAGAACTATGACAGAAGTTCCAAGAATCTCTGGAAAAGCCCTAAATATATCTGCATTGTTTTGTACTATACATTTATATAAAGCAGAGATCTCAGTATTGACAATTATAAAATTAAAGCTATCATTCATTTCTGAAAACTATAGATGATGTTCTATATCTTGCAATACCATGATTTAGTTCTGTCTGTAAAAATAAAGCACATCCATCTACTTAGTATGCTGATTTCTTTTTGTCTTTAATAGATGAAAAAAATTATATGTATACCAAAGAATTCTCATATAATAAATTTCTTTAGGATTATCCAGAAATGTTTTGCCTTGTATACCTATGTATATACCTATATACCTGGAGTATCATCAAATTTCCTTGGGCAAAAATGTGTCAAAAGTGGGAAAAGGGATTTTGAGTTTTCAATTTTTTTTTTAGATTTACTTGTTTTATTTTATGTGTATGAATGTTTTACTTGTATGTATATCTGTGCACCACATGCACACCCAGTGCCTGCAGCGGTCAGAAGAGTGTATGAGATTCCCTGGAACTGTAGTTTACAGACAGTTGTGAACCACCATGTGGGTGCTGGGAATCAAACCTGTGTCCTCAGCAAGAGCAACAAGTGCTCTTAACTGCTTATCCCCCTGCCCTCCCCTACAAGAAGTTTAATAAGACTTGATGTAAGGGACTTGAGATTCCAAGAATTTCCTTTTGTATAAGTGAAGATTCCTGGAATCATTTCTGCTAGGATATAAAGGGGCATTCTATACATACATGCATAGTTGTAGATATGGTGCTATTTATTAAAGGCTTCCCATGTGCTTAGTAGTTTATTATAGTCTTATTTACACTTCTGATCACTCTGTGAACTCTTATTCAACTTTATAAGTGTAGAAAGTGAAGCACAGGAACATTAAGGAGACTGCTTAGGTTCACACTCTGTTACTCAGTGGTAAAGATGGGGTCAGAACCCAAGTTAGTGGGCCCCCTAATCATGGATCCAATAAAGTTTCAACCTTGGATTCATACTCCCCACACTACCTACACACTTGCCAAGCAGCTGAACAATACTCTCCAACACTAATGATATCCCAGGACAGACTAGGGGAGACACGGCATCTGCAGGTGTGGTGTACAGTGAAATTCTGTACTTGGAATCCAGAGGCTTCCTCCTGTAAGCTTATTGGGGGGGGGCGTCTTTTTTTCACAGGCTTCTCGTTCTGAGAGCACTCTGTCTCACAGAAGCAGCACACCTACTGTTAATATTCTGATCCTGCAATTGGGGCCCTGGCATAAAAGCCTATTTTAAGGGAAAACTCCTCCCATTTCCCTCTCTTCTCCTCTCTTCCACTTTCCTCCCAGGAGGAATGCACCTCTGGAACCCCTCACCCTTCTCTATCTCTCTTTCCCTCTCCCCCCCCCCACCAAATAAAACTGTTCACTGAGCGCTGTCTGCATGGCATCTCTGTCTCTCACCCACCGTGGGGCACCTTGGCTCTAGCCGCCAGACCCGCCAGCACATGTAATATCATAACACCTACCCCTCAAAGCTGTATCAAGTCAAGGACAGTCCCAAATAATGACTAAATAACAGCTGAGTCACCTGGTCCATTTCATCCCTCACACAATCAAGAGACTACAACAGCAAATAAAGTAACGTATTTGGGTCTGTCCCTCTCCTCTCTAAATGACATCCAGGGAACTCTGAATGGCCACTGCACGAACTCTAAGCTTATATGCAAACTGTAGGCATTTGGAGGGGGGTGGTGAATAATTTCCTCAGGTTTACAACAGGCCCTTGTCACTCTTCTGCCCAACTGAGGAAAGAAAAGGAAACAAACAAAAAACTGTGGGTGCCAGGCGGCGGTGGTGCACGCCTTTAATCCCAGCACTCAGGAGGCAGAGCCAGGCGGATCTCTGTGAATTCGAGGCCAGCCTGGTCTAAAGAGCGAGATCCAGGACAGGCACCAAAAACTGCATAGAAAAAACCTGGTTTTTTTGGGGGGGAGGGGGGGGGGAACCTGTGGGTAAGAACCATGTCCTCCAGCAGGTAGCAAAAGCTGCTCAGAAGAGTTACACAGACTACCTTAGTGTCGGCCCCAACTCGGGCTTTAGGTTGGCCTTCCAGGTGGTTTCCCCTCCCCCCAGCACGCATGCGCACGTAGAGCCCAGGCTCCAGGCTCGCACTCAGGCTCGGAGGCTTGCAAGCACTCTCCACGTGCAAAAGGGCAGACACGCCCACACAAGCTCCACTATAATACCACATTCCTCTACACATCCTTCTGCGGTTTTGATCGCACCGAGTCACCGGGCACACAATCCCAACTCTGCAGTTGTGTAAAACATACACTTGCTTCTCCTGCATGCACCACGTTACACATACAAGCTCCGTGACAGGGCAAAAGAGTGCAGAGGTCCCTCCATCTTGCACTGTTGCTGAAGCCATATCAGGTTTAATGGGACTTTGATCTCCTTGATGGAGAATACTGTGGAAAATCACCATCTCTATTCTAGGACCCGAGACCAAGATACTAACAGAACTTAGCTTCTGTTAAACTGCTTACTTGTACAAACCTCCCTCTGCAGCTGATAATAGGATGTGGGTTTTGCCCTTTAAAGGCCCCTTGATCAAAATGCTCAGGGCTACACTTAAATCCGGAATACCTGGGTTTAGTCCCAGCTGTCTGGAATAAATTTAAAAAAAAAAAAAACTATAAGTAGTGGTGGGCTCACCTTAACGGCGGCTCACCACGTACACAGTTTTGTACCCCTCACACGCTTATCCCCCATGCCTGTCGAGAACCTTTTGTCCTCCCTACCAACAGCAAACTTTTGAGGCTGACCTGACCAACTAGCCCTCCTGCTCCAAAGACAGAGCCAGCCTGTGCACACCAAGTGCACGCAGCGGGAACCGGCAGTCCCTCAGCCCCAAGGAACTTCTGCCAGGACAGCTGCTGAGCCCCAGGGTTAGAGAGGTGGTACCTCCCACGGGCCGCGGCCATCAGGAGATAGGGTCGCTAGCCGCTCGGCCTACTCTATCTCCTGCCCGTCTGAATCCAGGAAAAGCAGGGGAGGCTTTTCTCAACCGCTCGGGAGAAAGCACTCACCCGGTTTGCAAAGCCAATCTGCTCTTCTTTCACTTCTGCCAGCAGCGAAGGGATTCGGACCTCGTGGGAGCCACTGTCTCAGGGCGGGGATAGAGGAAATGACTCCAAAAGGAGGCGGTCCAGAGGGAGGTGCCTGGATAAAAACAGTGGCTGGTGGGGCCTGGACCTACAACACGACTTCTGCCATCACAGTGAAGTCCGCCATCAGAAGACTGAAGGAACTGAAAGACCAGTAGAAACATACCGTTTGAGACCTGCCTGTGCTCTAATAAATGGGTTAATTTACGTAAAAAAAAAAAAAAAAAGTTGAGACGGCACTGCCGAGAGGAAGGGAATGGGAGGACTCAGAGAGTAGGAAAACTGTGTCTTTGATCAAAAAAGTGTCTTGTGACTATCTTGGAAATCCATCTACTCAACCAGGATTCCAGAAGCAACTGGACTAGACCATTTTCTCAGTGTTGGGCCTTAAACTTGATTACCCCATACTAGGGGTAGCTAAGGCTAAAACCCTTGTGGGCAGTTGGCAAGGCAGGAATCTGCTGATCTGGGCACAGGACCTTTATGCTAACGGAGGTCTTAATAAACTTCGTGGCATGTGATTACTGGGTGGATTAAATTAACCACATCTTAAAGTGTTGCTGGTTTCTATTTTACCACTTTGGGCACCAAAATGTAGTTGTTTGGTTTTTTACTCTTAGCTCTTTGGAGGACCTGCCACCCAGCTCCCAAATAAATCACACACAGAGGCTTATTATTATTTATAATTAATAATAAATAAATTACTTATAAATGCCTGGTCTTATCTTGGATTGTTTCTAGCCAGCTTTTCTTAAAATATCTCATCTACCTTTTGCCTCTGGGCTTTTACCTTTCTCTATTTCTGTATATCTTCCTTTCTTACTCGGTTGCTGGTTAGGTGGCTGGCCCCTAGCATCCTCCTGTCCTTGTTCTCTTGCTCTTTCTTCTTTTCGTCCCAGATTTTTCCTTCTATTTATTCTCTCTGCCTGCCAGCCAGCCCTGCCTATCCTTTCTCCTGCCTCAAAATTGGCTGTTCAGCTCTTTATTAGACCATCAGGTGTTTTAGACAGGCAAAGTAACACAGCTTCACAGAGTTAAACAAATGCAACATAAAAGAATGCAACACATCTTTGCATCATCAAACAAATGTTTCACAGCATAAAAAAATAAAACATCTTAAAATAATATTCTACAACAGGATTTAATGGCTTGTTAATAGCCTTAATGACTACCAAATATGAAGCTGTTGTCTAAAGTTTTGATAAAGTGTGTGTGTGTGTGTGAGAGAGAGAGATAGAGAGAGAGAGACAGACAGAGAGACAGAGAGACAGAGAGACAGAGAGAGACAGAAAGACAGACAGAGGTTGATTTTTGGAAAGGCCAGCTTCATTCAATGTGATAGCAGAAAAAGCAAGGGTCTTTCATATCCCCCTCCATAGGAACAGAATCAGTCCCAGAGTGTCAATGAAGTTGCACCATACATAGTTGGGCAACATATATGGCATGATCGCTAGTGTGAATGGCTCTTTCTCTATGAATTTCCAGGCATGGAGGATCAAAGTGGTCTTCTTATAATTGTTGTGCACAACACACAAATATACACTTGTTTGGTCTGGTCATTTAAGAAACATTTACTGCGGCCAGGGTCTGTGTTGATGTACATGGCTCCTGTTACCATCGAAGGCCATGTGGATGTTCAGGGTCTGGCCTTCCACATGGGGCCATGTTGGTGTCCGAGAGCCATGCTGCCACTGGGACCATGCTGATATGAGTGGTCTGTGCTGCCATCTGGGGTCATTATGTCATCCAGGCATGAGCTGCTGCCAAGGGCCATCTCTGGGCCCACGGCCCTACAGCAGTTAGGGTCTGAGTTGACGTCCATGGTTCCTGTTGAAGGGGTTAAACTCTCCCCCTTTCACAACTGAACTTAGATTCCAGTTCTCTAAGAAGGACAAACATATCTTTTCCAAGATATCTACAAGGCCCTTACATTCAGGGTGGAGGGAGAAAACAAACACAAAGGGTCTAAGTCAACCTCACAGTATCTCAAGGACAAACCCAGCAGCCCCTTCTGAGTCACGTCCAAGCTTGTGCAGGTGTGTCCAAAAATAATAAAACTAGACCTCAGCCAATAAAAATATACTAATGTAACCACTGCCTGATTAACCAATTAGGAAACTGACCCTGAAACTCCCCTTAGCTGTGCTTAAAAGGAGCTTGTACATCCCTCTCGGGTCCTCGCCATTTTGTACAGGTGAATGACCCCACATGCATGCTGGTATAATAAACGCTCTTTGTTCTTGCATACTATTTGAGTCTAGGTCTTCCTTCAGCATTTCCTCAGATCCTACACTGTTACCACATAGGGCCCTGCGGATGCCTAGGGTCTGGTCAGCCACCTGAGACCATGTTGTTCAAGAGCCATGCTGCCACTGGGGCCATACTGATCTGGGTAACTTGAGCTTCTGCAGGGGGCATGGTGATACCTGGGCCTGAGCTGCTACCCAGGGCCATGTCTGGGTCCATGGTCCTGCTGCAGTTGGGGTCTGTGTTGATGTCTGTGTCCCATGTTACCACAAGGGGCCATAAGAACCATGCATGATGAGATCTGAGGGCCAGGCTGAGTTGGCTCTGCTCTTCTCTGGCCCTGGGAAAGCTGGCCCTATCCCTCACTGGATATTGCAGCAAGAGAGCTGTTCCTCACCCTCACAGAAGAGCTGGTTGCAATGACCTGGGCCCAGAGAGCTGGCCTCTTGCACTCAGGAGAGATGGCCCCACCCCTCAACACGGGCAAGGGGGAACTGACCCTGATGGCATGGGCCTAGGAAAGCTGGCTCTACCCTTCACCTGAGAGGGCAGGCCCAGTGGCAGGGTCGGACCAGCTCAGCTACTACCCAGGCCCACATCCAGGGCCTTCGGTTGGCCCACCCTAACATTTACCCCATCTATGACCTGCTGGAGTGTGTGGAAAGGACAGGTCCAGTGGGAGGATAACAAGCAGGATCTCCATAAGTTAGAGCAACAGCAGCATATCCGAGAGGAGTTTCTGTGAGGGTCCAGTGATGATGGGGTGCCAGAGGCCTTGAACCAGACCAATGACTCATTGCAATGAACGTTTGCAAGTAAAGCTGATGGGACAGGAGAGTATGTTGCATGATGCAGCTTGGCTCCCAATGTCATTGGGATGAATGGGGAAGTGTTGGATTGGTAGGAAAGATAGAGGAGCAAGGTGGGTTTTTGTTTGTTTTGTTTTGGTTTCAATTTTTTTAAATTTTCTTTTCTTTCTGCAAGGGTGAAGGAACTGGGACGTGGGTGGAATTGGGGTGCATGATGTGGAATATCTAAGGAGTCAATAGAGAACTTACACTTACAAATTTTACTCCCCATTATGTTCCTAGCATTCTTTTCATTACTGGGGGGGGGGAGATACCAAGATGAAAAATATTGCTAATATTTATAATAGAGTATGCAATTTAATAATTACCCCCATATAATTTTAAATCTCTGAATTTGATGATTTATTGGTAATTGAGAAAGGAAATATTTCTTAGACACACACAGATGAAAGTAGAAACACTTACCAAGATATAGAGACTTGTGCAAACTAAATTCTTGGAGAATGTTGCTAAGTAAAATTAGAATAGAACCTGATCAGCAAACTGACAAGTAGTCCACCCTGTCCATTTCAAGGTTTGGTTTGGGTAGCTTTAGCATGCCCACATATGTAATCTCTATCAGGCCCTTACTTCTGGCCCCACACTCCCACGATATCTTCTTAACATTGTTATTGAAAACTGGGCTCTTGAAATTCAAGGAACAATTAGAAGGATTGATAAATTAGTCACGAATAATGTGCTAATGGAAGGATATTGGCAAATTATATATCCCTACTGCATGTATTAATGTTGTCAATGGGATCTAGAATCACAAACATCTGGACATGTCTATGGACGTTCCTAGATGAGGTCAACTGAAGTGGGAAGAATCAACACAAATCTGGGCAGCACCATTCTGTAGTATGCTGGGGTCTCAGATTGAATCAAAAGGAGAAGGCTAGCTGAGGACAGCTTTTATCTGTCTGCTTTCTCATTGGGGATGCAATGGGACCAACTGTTGGAGAATACTATTTTAAGGTGTGTTGCATTCTTTTATGTTACATTTGTTTAACTCTGTGAAGCTGTGTTACTGTGTCTGTCTGAAACACCTGATGGTCTAATAAAGAACTGAACAGCCAATAGCAAGGCAGAAGAAAGGATAGGCAGGGCTGGCAGGCAGAGAGAATATATAGAAGGAGAAATGTGAAAAAGAAAAAAAAAGAGAGAGAGCCAGAGAAGGAGGAAGATTCCAGGGGCCAGCCAGCTACACAGCAAGTTACAGAGTAAGAGTAAGATTTACAGAAGTAAGAGAATGGGAAAAGACCAGAGGCAAAAGGTAGACAGGATAATTTAAGTTAAGGAAAGCTGGCTCGAAACTAAGCCAAGCTAAGGCTGGGCATTTATAAGTAAGATAAGCCTCTGTGTGTGATTTATATGGGAGCTGGGTGGTGGGCCCCCAAAAAGAGCAAAAACAACCAACAACAATCAACTGCCTCCAAATTCTGCTGGAATAACTCCCCACCATTGTAGACTATGCCCTCAAGTGGTGCGTCAGAAGAAGCCCTTTCCTGAGTTACTTTTATTAGGTATTTTATCACAGCAGTGAGAAAGGTAAAAAATATTCTTATTGACTATATTCTTCCTTCTCAGTAACCAAGAAAATATTATAAAGGACCTTCTAAAGATAATTCATTATATAATTAAGGGGTGACAAGGAGAGGCAGGAAATTTTGAATTTTCATGTTTTAAAGGGTCAGCTGAAGCCAGATGTGGTGGCACATGCCTGTCATCTCAGTACTTGAGAGGTGGAGGCAGGAGAATCAGGAGCTTAAGACTAGTCTCTGATACATAGGGATCTTGAAATCAGCCTGAAAAAAATAGTAAATAATCAATTAATCAATCAATCATTCATCTGGTAATGTGGTACAGGCTTATAGTAGACATATTTTCAAACAAAAAGGATCTTTCAGATGATAGAATATAGAGGCAAACTCTGCTGTCTGTGAAGCTGGCCTCATATCACACTGCAGAGGGGATCTGTTACTTCTCCAGCTATGTTAGAAAGCCCAGGAAATAGAACTTTCCCTGTGATGTAAACTGGCAGGAAACACACCCTTATAATTTACATCTTT